TGGAGATGGTAAAAATGGCATGTGATCGGCTGCAATTCATAAAAAATTAGTTTTCCAAATTGTAAAATGATAATAAAATCATTACAAAAATACCAATATAGTCGGATGGACTCTTGATCAAACTAATATAGCATAAGATGCTATGGAAAATAAAGAGAATACCTCGACTGACTATTCATGTTTGTGCTCGCAGTGGCACGCGAAACTGCACCTTGCAAGAGGTAGGAAGCCATCTCTTCTTTTGTTTTAACCTCTGCTTCTGTAACACCAGCAAGCGTAATTCCTCCATTGGCAGTTTCTCTTATTTGAATGGGAGCTCTAGTGTGCCCAGCTGCCCTTGCCCCTTCGCCTTTACAAATAGCCGGAGGATTTGTATCTAGCAGATCAAACACCTCTTCTTTAAAAATCTGCAAAATCACAGGTTATCATAAATCAATTTATTAATAAGAAATGATGCATTACTAAATCACCAAAAGGTCACTTCCCTTACCTCAATGAAAGAAACTCTAATTAGAAATTCAGTAGAATCCTTCAAGCCATCTACCCTAGAGAATATAGTCTCCATAACTCTAGGTATTACCCCTCCAGTGTAGTCTTCTCCATTATAGTTTGTGCCCATTGTATAGGTCTTCCCTGAACCAGTCTTTTGACAACATAAACAAAGCATTTGAAATTAATACGAAATTCGAACATATAGGTGATTGCAATTTGTTAGCTTTAAAGGTTTAGAATTATGCAACTCATTTCCAAAAAGATGGGATTAAACTAAAGAGGGATAAAACTTTATGATCCCTTAAACATCAGAATTGAATCAACCAAGCCCTAAAAATTTAAACAACAGAGCTGAAAGCAATACATCTAGTAAATCAAAAGTAATGTCGATACCTGACCATATGCAAGAACAGTACTGTTATAGCCTTGGAATAAAGCATCAACCAATGACAGAACACACTCGTCAAAAATGCGCGAGGATGGGTATCCCGCACTCCCGAACACACAGTCAAATGTGAATGCATGTGACCCAATTTGCACCTGTTGGGGAAAAAAATTACACTTTCTTTACTTGATTTAAACCATTCTATTAGACTCTAAGCAACACATTTCCTATTCTAAACAATTTGCTTACATACATCCTCATAAGTCAGGCAGATCAATTCAAATTTAATGCTCAAAACACTGTATTATAAATAAAATTAGAAGGTGAGTAGAAATGAAAATTTGCTTCCGTACCTGCTGTTCGCCGGGGACGACCGTAATGCAATCGGTGCAGCCAACGAGGAGCTCCGAAGTAAGCAGTGGCCGTATGTTGACGGCGACCCTCACGCACTGAGATGCATCTTTGAGATCCGAATTCTCCATCCCCGCTCAATCAGTAGCCGGCCGGAAACCTTACCGCCGTTAGGGCAACGGTTAACGGGAGCAGAGAAGTGTTGGGAGGCTGTTTGAGTTGCAAACGGCGGAGAGGGAAGATAATGCCCGTTGAGGGGTGGGAGGGGAGGGGAAGGGGGGAGAGATGATTTGAATTTGAATCTGGTGAGAGACAAGATGGTGACGACAAAAAAATCAACGATCAAAATTATATATAAGAGCCGCATCTGAATTCAAATTGGATACACCGTGTTTGGGGAGCCACAAATGCATTGATGATGAAAGGCGAAGTCAAGTGGGACTAGATCAGGAGAAGGTCTGATCTTCAGTCCATCCAAACACGCCTCAACCTGTGAGTTGGCATTATAATTTGCGAGGAAAAAATGGAAATTATATCCCCACGCATATATCAATTATCAATGTCACTCTTTAATTTTTAGTGGTGTAAATATTATTCCTTAATTTTCACATATTTGCAACATATGCAGATCCCCTAATGGAGTTATGAGATCCCGTTATAACTTAGAATTTATTAAAAATATTTTGATAATTTTCATTTCACGTTTCCTTTTACTTCTCTTCATTCTCTGTATGACGAACTCCTTGTACCCTCTCTCTTCTCCACCAAGTTGTGAGTACTTGCATTTAGACACACCACCAATGTGGTTTAGTCTCCTATGATTTTATTAAACACCCAACTCCTTCAATCCTTTGTGGCCTTATGCCCAAAGTTTCAAGGAAAATGGAGTTTGATTTGAACGTAGCTCTCTTCTATAGAAACCAATCTCTCTGAAGTGTCTTCTTTTGTTGTTGCCGCTACCGCCAATAGTACAATTCCCATCGAGCTACTTCGTTTAGTTTTTGTCGCCATCCCTAGTGTGCTTGCTTTTCCCTTCGCTGCCAGAGTTCTATCCCTCAAAGCGGGAAGCTCAAGACCCAAAGTGACATTGACTCAAAATCGAACAAGCAAAAAAAAAAAAAAAAAAAACCAAGTCCCCTGAAAAGTTTGTGTGGAATACCAATGAAGAGCAAACATCACAAGATGTTTGGCAACGGTGTAACAAAAACACTGCGGTCTCGGTTCAAAGTTGAAAAAACAGTATAGCCCCAAATTATAATAGTTAGGCATCTGAATTCGAAAATAGTTAAGCTTTTTGAACATCTTGCGAAGTAATCGGACTTATTAAAATTAAATATAATGAATTTGGACCACTGAGTTCACTTTTTCCTATAAATGGTGAACTCCAAAAAAAAAAATAAACAAATAAAAGATCAAGAGCGAGAAGATAAGTAGAAGAAAGAAAGAAAGAAATGAATTGAAAGTAAGTACAATTAGCTCCACATTGATTTAGTCAATAAAAAATTTGACTTAAAACTTGTTTTCGGTAAAAGAGTGATAATTCAATTTCTGGGTTGGGCTTCTTGATAATGTGGGTGTTTGATTACTATTCCACATTATAAGTTTGTATTTATTTCAAATCTTTATATATATGTTGAAAAAAATAGTTAAAAATTGTATTCAAAGTGATTGATCATTTTGAAGCAATATTTAGAGTATGAACTACTCCCAATTTGAATTATGTTAAAGTGAATTTAAATTCTCTAACTTGAGATGATTAATATGATAGATTATACACTTAAAATAGATAAAGAATAATTAAACTGTTTAAATAAGCCTCTGTCATTTGACTAAGACTCTAGCAACTCTGCCCTTGAGATCGTAGGAAATTTTGAAACTTATGGCCTTGTTCTTGCTTCAAATAGGTAATGATTTTTTTTATCGACACAAACCAAGAAAGTTATATAGAGTTCAATTCGACTTAAAATCTTGTAATTATTAAAATAATTGTCAAATCAACTTGATTAGGGTGGTCCCCATCTATTTTATCCCTTGTCTTGTACCTTTTCTTTTTTTTTTTTTTTTTTTTTGTTTAAATAAAGTTAGGATGTTATCTTTAAAAAATATATTACAACGTAATAAAGTGTTGTTGATTTTTAACTATATCTTGGTTCAGTATAAAGCACATAAAAATGGCAGTAAAAAAATGAATCGAATCGAATTAACGTCTCAAACAAATTTTAAGGTTTTGATTGTCGGGTTAGTTGATGCATGTGAGATTATTTCCCTTTCTAAAATAAATAAATAATAAATAATTTATAAGGGAACTCTCACTCTTCTCACTGCATATAGATAGAAGTTTTCTTCATCACATCATTAGCACAATACTTATTCATCTCCCAATTAGAGTTAATTCCACAAAAAGATCCCTTATTTTTAATGGCAATTTCAAATTTAGGTCTAGACTATTATTTTTGTCATTTAACATTCTAAATTATTATTTTTTAGATACTTTTAGTCATTTTAATTACTTTTCTTTTTAAAGCAAATACCAATTTTGGTCTCATGAGTATTAGCAAAATGACAGTTTTGATCCACATGTTTAATTCCTACCAATTTTCCTCCACGACTATTGTTTTAGTACCAATTTTCATCCACAACTATTGTTTTAGTGCCAAAATTCATCATGCCGGTCACCAATTCGTTTAAGACATGCCGAAATATGAAATTATTAAGGGTAGTTTCGTGCTTTTCAAATTAGGATCCATATTTGAGCATAAATAAATAGATTTAAGCCCTAAGATCTATACTAATTCGCAGTTTCCTTCCTCAAATTAAGGTAGGATGAGGTGGAGAACTGCGAATTGGGACCGATCTTAGGGCTTAAATTCATTTATTTATGCTCAAATTGGAATCACAAAAAATGCCCTTAAAATTTTTAGATTTCGGGATGTCTTAAATAGATGGGTGACCGACGTGATGAATTTTGGTACTAAAATAATAGTCGTGGATTAAAATTGGTACTAAAACAATAGTCGTGGATTAAAATTGATACTAAAACAATAGTCGTGGATGAAAATTGGTAGGAATTAAACATGTGGACCAAAATCGTCATTTTTTTTTAATTACATTTAATCCATTAAATCTGAACACGTGAACAACTGCCATTGGTTCTTAGTTCTTTCTTGGACATTCGTTCTCACATGATATATATATGGACAATATCAAATGGAGTTAATACCTAATTTAGTCCGCGACTATAGTGATTTTTCTCGATTTAGTCCTAAGCATCTTTTTGTACTTAATTAGGTTATCAACTTTGATGTTTTTATCCAATTGAATCCTTTGTTAAGATAGCTTGCTTGGTAATTTCACCTCTACTAATACACAATTTAGTCCTTGACTTTAATAGATTTACCCAAGTTAGTTTTTGACTATATAATAATTTTACTCAATTTAATAATTATTTTTTTTGAAAGCAATTTAATAATTAATTATAGTGATTTTAATTGATTTAGTCTTTGATTCTAATAATAGTCGATGACTCAATTAGGTAAAATTATCGAAATCGATGACCTAACTGAACACAAAAAGTCATTTAAGACTAATTAAATCGAGAAAACCCACTAAAATCGATGACTAAATTGGGTATTAACTCGTATAAAATGACAACATGTTCCACGCAACACCAAATTAAAAAGTGTGCAGATACAGCAACTACAATTAATTATTTGCCAAGCATCACAATTCACATACACGCAGATCAGATCAGAGGTTCATACAGCACCACTACCAGACAACCTTAATTATACATATACTCTCCAGCTTCCTGGGCATATATGTGCATTATTTCTGATGGTCTTGTTCAGCTAGTGAAAGGGTAGCCTGATCAAATATGCAAACTATATATTAATTAATTATTTCCCATGGCCATAAGATATATATTAAGGATTATATTTATCTACAAATTGATGAACAAGTGACCCAGTCGTGAATTGTCACTTTCGCGAGACAATCTCTACGCTATGCAATTATAACTCCATTAAAAAAAGAGTAATATATATACTAGTGTAACAGAAATCACACCCCTTTTTAATGTAGAATAAAAAATGTTACTTACAAGTCTTCCCAATCTCATTTTTCTTAACCTACACATTGAAAATTAATTTAATTTCCATTCAACTATTATATATTTTGTGCATATAATATATCAAATTAAACATCTCGCTTAAGAAAATTCAAATTCACTACATTAAAGCTCACCCGAGTTTCAGCATTGTATCTGAGCAGTCAGCAGCCTGCAGAAGCGGCGGCTGGGTGGTGCTATTTTTGGTGATGGACTCACCATCTTCTTGGATCATGCGATCCATAATGTCACCAACAATCCGCCCGTTTCGTCTGTCATTTGCAACCTGTGTTTTATGACAACAATAATCTCCTCTAATTAGCTGCTAGCTAGATTGATTAACAGAAGTTAAATGTAATCCGAAAGAACACAAGTTGATCTGACTATTAACTCGGTAACCATAAGGTTCCAATAACTTTCCGTGGGAACAACTTATTAACCTTCTTAATTTGAACTGGTTTACCTCCCATCGGATCGGATAGTGGTTTTGAATTTTGCTTATCATAAAAATAAAATTGTTAGAGATAAGAGATTACTCGTTGTTTCAACTGATTATTTTCTTCCATGAGCTCAGAACCCTGCAAAGACAAACCAGGGAACAGCAGATCAGAAATAGAAGATGATTAATTAAGCCCTAACTTGGCACTATATGTGTATTGATTTTACTGTGCGGACTATATATACCTTGTATTGAAGTGTGGCAATCTCATTCCTCAACTGTTCATCCTGGAACCAAAAAATTCAAGAATTGATGAAGAATTACTAACTTCAAAATCAAAAGGGATTGAGGGAAAGCAAATTAAAGATAGAGATGAGATGATGATTCAAGCTAAGCTAAGGTACCTTGGTCTCAGACACACGGTTTAATCCAACTTTAAGCTTTTTCTCCAGTTCTTCTAGTTCCTCTAAGCTTAATCCTTCAAGCTCTTCACCTCCCATCCGCCTGTTTTATTCAGCTTAATTGTTATTAGTACATGCATAACCATTTCTACGGTTCTACCTACTTGCTTGGATACTGTAAAATAAGTTTATTTACAAAAAAGAATCAGTAAAAAAAAAAAATGACATTTTCCACTACTTGCTACCTGAGCTCACGAGTCTTGTCAGAAATCTCCTTGCTTAATCTTACTTGAAGGCTATTCTCTTGCTAAAAAAAGGAAATAATTTTAGGTTAAGTTAACAGACAGTTGATGGTTATAAGCTAAGTAATCATCTCATACATGGAATTGGATACTCAAGCTTTCATGTTAATACTCAATTTATTGGAAACAAGAAAAAAGAAAAAAAAAAATCTCACATGAAGAAAGTACTGCAAGAAGCAACCCTAAAAAAGAAATATAATCTCACAAATTATTCGATTGCTTCTTCTTCTTCTCTTTTTTTTTTTTTAAACCCTAGTTGATATATGTATATAGATGCAAGAAGATATATATATATATATATATATATATATATATATATATATATATATATATATATATATATATATATATATATATATTTGGTGGCCTTCTCTGGTAGCCAATGGCAGTCACTAGTCGCCAGAATGGAAATGAGTCATTTACCGGTTCTTGGGCTTCATTTTGTCTCAATTTGACATATTTGGAAGTTTAATTGTATTTTTTTTTTAAAGTTTATTAGGTGCCTAATTGACTTTTGATGTAAAGTTTATGAGTTTATTTGACACTTTTTTCTTTTTATTTTTATCCAATATGCATGTGTATATAGATTCAAAAAGTAATATATATATATATATATATATATATATATATATATATATATATATTTAAGTATGGAGTAATATTCATGATATGTCTCACATAAAGTGCAAGTAAAATTATGCCTCATCACATGAAAAATTGATCAAGATTTTTCAGAAGTATTAGGATGAGTCATGAACCGTTGCAATGTTTAATTTTTTTAAAATCCAAGTTGATATGTATATATAGATTCAAAAAGTGATATCATCATACGTCTCACATAGTAAGTAACATTATGTCTTATTACATGAAGAAAGAAAATATCACCATACGAACCAATTACAAAATTTTGTTTTTATTTTTACACAAGTTGATATAAATGTATATATAGATTCAAAAAGCGATATTATTATACTCATCAATCATCATATGTCTCACATAGAGTATAGGTAAAATTATGTCTCATGTGAAGAAAGAAAGATCAAGATATATATCTTTCCAAAACTACTTGCATGAGTCATGAACGGTTGTAAATTTTTTTTAGTTTTTTTACCCAAATTCTTATATATGTATACATAGATTTAAGAAGTAATATTCATCATATATCGCATATAGAATATAAGTAAAATTATGTCTTATTGTCTTACATGAAGAAAGAAAGATCAAGATATATATATATATATATATATATATATATATATATATATTAAGGATCAAATGAGAACACGCACTAATTTTGGCCTTTCCAAAAGTACCGGCATGATGAGTGATGATCATATCAATTGCATTTTTTTTTACGTACAATTTTAGTATGTATATGGAAATTCAAGATGTTTTCTTTATTATATTCTAATAATTTTCATCATATAACCTTAATATTGTACTAATTAATCATTAAGAATTAATTAACTAATACTGTTATGATGATCATATATTAATGCAAATGGTACACAGTAAATGATACCTGCAGAAATTGAAGAGGTGGGTACTTCTCGATGTTACTTGAATGAGACACATATTTTTGAAGGATATGCTTCATGCTGCCATAAAAACATAAGATCACACACCTCAGTAAAATGTGCATTCTGCACACATATACCTGTTCTATAAAGTCATAATTTCACTATCGATTTATACCAATCCGTTAATTAAAGATCGAATCGAAGAACCATAACTTTATAATTCCACAATAAAACTTATACGTACCGACCAATTAAAGATACTCTAAACGTATAATTTCATTATCAGTTTATACACACGGGCCCATTAAAGATTATCCATATACACATCAACAACTTAATTAACATATATGCATTATTCAATTCAGATTGAAAGCTACTATATCTAGGTATAGGTTTGAAGTTAACATCAAAGTATTGCCCAGAAACTGCATCCGATGAACTGTAAACTAAACCAAAACATAAATTAAAGGGAGATTGTGGGTGGAATCATAAACATAAACATAGTCTATAGAAGTAGCTGGTTATATAATATAATGAACCTTCTTGTCTATCCATCAAATTAAAAGGTGAGATAGATGACTGATATGACAAGGAAGTAACTAGGTATAGTACTATGAAATCTGGACCATTGATTTTTCTCAAGTTTATGCAGAATCTGAATCTAGTAGTGCAAGTCTGCACTGGAGGATGAGTGACCAGAATATATACCAGAGATAGTTGGGAAAACTAATTAAAGTTGGAAATCAAACATAAAAGGTAACTGGGTCGGATCGGAGCAAGAAATCCGATGAGAAAACCCTAAGAAGGAAACACATACAGACACGCCGACCAAATATGTTCTCAACACGACATACTATTGTTGTATGTCTCATATGTACTAGAAGATGATAGGTGTTGGACAGAACGGGATGAAACACCGGACAAAAATAAAGAGTGGGAATCTAATTTCCGGCGAAACAGCGGCCGCCGGAAAATAAACGGCCGGGGAGAGTGAAGTAGTGGACATACGTACCTAGAGCTAGCGAAATCGAAAAGCTTGCCGGTAGCGGAGAAGACGATGAGGGCGACGTCGGCGTCACAAAGGACGGCAAGCTCTTCAGCTTTCTTGAAAAGCCCTCTTCTCCTCTTAGAGAATGTTACCTGCCTCGCTGCAATGTTGTCGATCTTCTTTATCTTTATCTTCTTCCGAGTCATGATCCAGTGTTAAGTTCAAACCAAAATTAAACCACTTCCGCTTCGATCAGTTCTTACAACCTTATTAGCTTCATCTCCTCAAACTGCAAATTAAGAGCGAACAAAATCTTTTCCCAGCACGTACGAAAACGAAGAAACAGTTGTAATAAACTATTGTTTTTAGCTAAACATATATAGCAGACAAAAAAGCAGTAGCTTGGAGAAACCCTATGATGGAAAATGGAAAGTTCCCAGTTTAGATCTGGCGAAAAACTCCAGAAAAAATCTGTGACCAATAATCGGGAATATAATATAATGAACGTGATGACGACCTCCAGGTTTTCTTCTTCTTGGATTGGCGGGTATGGGAATTTTGAGAGTGAGGAAGGCGATGCTTCAATTCTCTGCAAATAAATAAATAAATAAATAAAAATTCCTTCTTTTGGAACTTGCTGCTGCTTCTCTCTCTCTCCAAAAGTAGAATAATAGGGAGAGGGACAGAGAAAGTGGAAAGACCACTAATTAATATCCCAGAAATGTGGTTCAGTAAAGGGAAAGTCTTACTATTTATAACCAAGGAAACCAAAAAAAAAAAAAAAAAAAAGGTTCCAATATTCCATGTATATTGGAACACGCTAGGCCAAGAAAATGTTTTATAATTTTGTTGGGGGGAAAGGGCCATTAAATTTTATACGACATTAACTTTTTAAAAATGCAATTAAGTATTTTTCAAAATTTCTCAGTAACTCATTCAGTAAAAGTCGTTGATCATCATTAACCATCGTTGATTGTCTGAACTATCAAACAAAAAAAAAATTATCGCCGATCGCAGATGACCAGGACCGGTCACCAGCAAATGTCGTTCGCCGAAATCCTAATGATTGATTATTCTAGGTGGATAACTGGCTATTAGGTTTAAATGCACCAAAATGTTGTTGAAAAAATAGCTTGAAAATGGCATAATAAGTGGTTATTTTGTGGTACAAATTAGGCGGGTCCACTTTCGATTTGGGCCGGGTCAAGGTGGATTCGGATCCTTCGTAGTGAGAAGAAGAGATTGATATATTATACGCACAAAACGAATAATGGGTGAATGAGAAATTGATTCTCAAAGTATACCCATTTGAGTTTGGAAAAAATGAAGGGGAAATAAGGGTTTAAAGTAGCATTTGTCCCACATTGATTATGGAAGTGTATTTGCACAACTATCTATACAAGAACATTTCTAAAGCTTATTGAATTGTATAGCATAAAGGATTTTTTTCGTGTGCAAGAGCCTACAAAAGCCCCTCTTCTCTCACGTTTTTCTCTCAAAACCTTGCACGTGTTCTTCCCATGCTCTAACCTTGCATGTGTTCTTCTCATGCTCTACTTTGTTAGGTTCTAAGTTTAGTTTTAAGAAGGTAGTGAAACTCGACTCGTACTTACAACCAAGTCGAAAATACCCTTAGCTTTCATCCCTATGCTTATATTTCCCAATTTTTTCCAGGAAAATAATAATCCTTTTTTCATAGGATTATTATTAAATTATTATTCTTGTATTTCCAACAACAAATGTCAAATTTAAGTGTTTAATTGCACTTGAAAGGGATTTGGTGATTTTATTGTTAAATATTATTTATTCAAATGATGAAAATTGTACTATATTCAAATTGAAATATTTACCGTGACTTTTGATCTGGTTCTGATATCAAAGTGAAGCATGTGCTCCATCTTAACTAAAAGCCTAAGCTTCTAGTTGGATTGCATAATGATTATATACTCAACACTTCATACCCATGTGAGAATTAATAAAGTATTTATTGACTAAATGCGAATGCATTCTGAATGGGGATATTTACCCATAGCTTCCAACTCAGCTTCTTCATACTCATGTGAGAATTAATAAAGTATTTATTGACTAAATGCGAATACACTACTGTTGTATCTGCATTTTATCAAATTAAAAGATTAAGCTAAGGTAAGAACCACGTGCATTGCTGAACCATACGTTACAAGTGCCTGTTCGATCGATGAGAAATTGTTAGAACACTACTATGGGTTTCAAATACCCCATCAATTGAAAAATTTATACCCAAATAAAATAAGGGTTTCATTCCCTTATTCATTCTCAAGCATTATTATTAGTAATCATTCTCATTCCACCCTACTACCAAACATGTTAAATACTTTCACCAAAACTCATTACCATTACCAAGTATTTGATACCCATTCCAATTCCGATTCAACCAAACACACCCTGAATTTGTCATGAAGTTGTCGGAGACCTCCTTTATTATAGACTTTTTCACATCCCATTTTATAACCCAAAAAAAGAAGAATTTATATGGGAATTATCACTCTTCTCACTGCATATGGAATTTTCTTTTTCACATCATTAACACAATGCTCATTTGTCAACTATCATGTAATGTGATGACATCTCGGTTACCATTTTAAATGAATGGTCATAAATTCGAACTCCGGTGACGAAAATTTAGATTTTTTAGGCTGAAACTTTTTGAAAAAGTATAGAACAGATCCTACCTAATGAGAATATAGTATTTAAAAAAAAAACACAATGCTCATTTATTTCCCAATTACTAATATATATATATATATATATATATATATATATATATATATATATATATATATTTAAAAAAAAAAAAGAAGCAAAAAGCTGCGCCCTACATCTGCTTTGGTGTGTGCCAGGGCCGTATTTTAAATTTTGGTGGCCCTGTTCTAGTAAATAAATGTGGCCCTACCAAAATCACAATTAATACACTGTAAGTTTCGAACCTTTGACCTCCAAGTTAAAATACAACAAATACACATTCTTACCATCTCTTCATAAAACCTTTTAAGTTTAATTAAAAACTTTTAATTTTTATTTATAAACTAGCTAGGTAAAAATTAAATATTAGACCTTTAAAATTTGGGGCCCCTCTAAAGTTGGGGGCCCTGTGCGGTAGCCCAGCTTGCACAGCCTAAAATCCGGCCCTGGTGTGTGCACAAACCTGAATTCTGATCTCTCTTCTTTTTTTCCTAAAAAAAAACATGAATTCTCTTTTACTTTATTTATTTATTTATTTATTTTCAATAAAATGTCAACTTGCTATCGAGCGAACATTGGCTTTGCAGCAAGTTTCTTCAAGGAAGAGAAAATTCTTAGATTGGAGATGCCCTAACACACTTATAGGAGACAATAAGTGGTTGCATAATTCTTTAATTATTCATTAATTCTAACATTCAATACACAATATTTTCAATTGTCCGATTAATCAAACATATCAGGCCGTCCAGCACACTCATTACACCTAGCAACTAAGTATACAAAAGGCATCTCCGATGGAATGAGAAATAAGAGAGATTATATATGGAGAGCAACATTAAATGTTGAAGGTGTGAACATTATATCATTTAATGATATTCACATCCTTTATTATTATTATTATTATTAAAAGGAATTACATCACCTTCAAAAAGGTAAAGAAAAGGAAAAAAGGTTGGATAGAAAATAGCTAGGATGAGAGATTATAGATGATGGGGAGGAGATGGGCCCATAAAATAGGAGATATAAGGGAAGAAGGCGGCAATTTATATCCTACACCACGGCGCGCGTTGAACTATGCGCCCAGATGCAAAACGACGTCGTTTTAATTTTATTTTATTTTTTGAAATTTCCCGCCCCAGTGAATGGCAGTAGTTTTTTCTTTAAAAAAAAACCGCTGTTCAAGAATGTACATAATGTTATACTAGAATACACATAATTGTATACATGAATGTACATAATTATATAACAAAATATACATACTCTTTTTAAAAGATAATACACATAATCTAACATAATACATAATAAACATAAACTTTTAACATAATACACATCAACTATTAACATAATACACACAAATTTTCTGATTCGGATGTACATAATTGTATAAAAAGAATGTACATAATTGTATAAAAAATGTACATAACTGTATGAATCAATACACATAACTGTATGAACAAATACACATAACTATGTGAACAAATTCACATAATCCCAGCAACTTCCTACCGCGCCTCCCAAAACGATCCCAAAACGACGTCGTTTTGGGAGGCGCGCGGTGCACAGTGCTATGTGCGCCGTGGTGTAGGGTATAGAGATGATTAGAAGAAGGCTGGGTTGGTGGGCAAATTATTGTGTAGACCGCACAGTGCTGTGTGGACCATAATGAAAGTACATTTTTAATATTATAAATGTACATTATACAAAATAATGTATTTTCAGTAAATGTACTTTTCCTGAATAAAATACACGTTATTAATATATTAAAAGTACATTATTTTATAAATACAAAATATGATCAACACAATAATGATTGGGGTTGATAATGCCAAAAAAGCGAAGATTATTGGTTAGGTTTTATAATTAGATTTTTGACAAATTTTTTGGAGCCAAATGGAAAAGAAAAAAGAAAAAAAAAAAAAAAAAGAAAAAAAAGGCAGGTGGTTGTCAATTGGCAACGAACCATAAATGCCCTAGCGGGCTTGTGAAATGCACACACATTTAGACACCCTCAGTGTACATCATGCCTAAAATTCAATTAGCAAAAAAACTTGTGCGTTCTTTCTCTCCTTCACATCACTGAAAATTCATAAAAAAAACTGAGAAAAACCCCTCAACGAGAATCCCCTAAGTACACCCTTTACACCTATCAGCTGAAATATACCACCAAATTGTATTATATTACACCAAAAACACACAAACTATTTCATTCTATTTGCTAGCTTGTTAAACAAGTGTGCAGATAGAGCAACTAAAATTATTTGCCTAACATAAGATACAAGCAGATCAGAGGTTCATACTTACAGCAACACTACCAGCAGACAACCTTAGCTTATACATATACTCTCCAGCTTCCTGGGCATGCATTATCATTATTTCTGATGCTCATATTCAGCTAGTGTTAGGGTAGCCTGATCAAATATGCAAAGTATGTATATTAATTAATTATTTCCAATGGCCCTAACATATATATTACTGAATAGCTATAGCATAAATACTTGCAAGAAAGAGAAATCAAGATATATATCTTTCTAAAATTATCAACATTATGAGTCATGATCCGTTAAAAATGTTTTGTATGTTATCACTACGCCAAAAGTTATAGCTAGCAATGAAGACACAACTTTATTTCCGTGTACCTGATGAAGCGCTTACTACTATGCCAAAAGCTATAGCCTTTATTTCATTATACCGCCACACATTTTTTAAGAGTCAATGTGCTGAACTTGACCCTTTACCGACCTCTACCCAACAATCTCAATCATTATTGTGTGGACCATGGCCCATACAAGTTGTGTGGACCATATTTTATATACTAAAATAATGTACATTCAGTACAAAAATAATGTACACTCAGTACAAAAATAATGTATATTGTATTCAGAGGATGTACATTATTTTTGTACTGAGTGTACATTATATCAGTACAAAAATAATGTACATTTAGTATATTAAAAATATATTTTTTGTTATGGTCCACATAACACTGTGTGGACCATGGTCCATACAATAATTTGCCCAACAATCTCTGTAGCCCCATGGTACTGGACTTGGCCCTTATCGGCCTCCGCCCAAGATGCTTCATTGGTTGATGAAAGGGAATATATAGTGAAGTGAAATTGCAGACTATAATAGAAGTTTCATATGATTGGGTATGCATGGATGGATGCATATACAAATTATAGCCATGGCAAGATATATCACTACAAGAAAAATAACCATAAACAAGACTCAAAAGACAATGATTACGTTATAGGTTAATATAAAAGACAACAGTATCCTCAAGAAGTCAACAGATATATGCATGGAAAGCTTAATAATCTGCATTCTGCAGTGAGGATAGATTCAGCCAGTGAAAGGGTGGATCAGACTAAAACCTTCCACCAATTACTGGGGATTCATGCTAAACATAGTACAGGTTTCCTCAAGAAACTAATTAACGTTGTAGCTTAGCTGCAACTATATATATGGTGAGCATATATTACTACAGAAAAGGGTATAGAGTAAACTAATTAAATTAAAGCTCACCCGAGTTTCAGCAATGTATCTGAGCAGTCTGCAGCCTGTAGATGCGGCGGCTGGGTGGTGCTATTATTGGTGATGGACTCAGATGTCTGACCCTCTTCTAGGATCATGCGATCCATGTCAGCAATAATCAGTCCGTTTCGTCTGTCATTGTTCATCTCTGCAACCTGTGTTTTATGACAATAATAATAATCTCCTTTAGCTCCTAGCTAGGTTGATTAGTAAAAAGTTAACTGTACTCAAGAGGAGCACAAGTTGGTCCGGCTGTTCCAAGTTCTACTCTGTGTAGAAGCAGCTAATTGGCCTTCTATCTTGATTTAAGTCAATCAGGGACAACTATAAGGTTCCAAGTTCGACTCTGTGTAGAAGCAGTTAATTGGTCTTCTATCTTGATTTAAGCCAGTCAGCTATGGACAACCCAAGCTGTCTTTTATTGACTAGGATCACAAGACATGATTTACCGTTTCTTCAGTGCATACCCTCAGGTAGTGACTGGGATTTTTTCTGGTCAATCAAAAAACTAATTGTTAGAGAGAAGAGATTACTCGTTGTTTCAACCGATTATTTTCTTCCATGAGCTCAGCACCCTGCAAAAACATGGCAGGAACAGCAGATCAGAAAGAGAAGATGATTAAACCCTAACTGTGCAGACTATATATATATATATATATATATATATATATACCTTGTATTGAAGGGTGGCAATCTCATTCCTTATCTGTTCATCCTGGAACCAAAAAATTCAAGAATTGCATAATTACTGACTTCAAAATCAAAAGGGATATGATTGAGGGAAAGCAAAGATAGAGATCAGATGAAGATTCCAGCTAAGGTACCTTGGTCTCAGAGACACGGTTTAATCCAACTTGAAGCTTTTGTGCCAGTTCTTCTAGTTCCTCTAAGCTTAATCCTTCAAGGTCTTCACCTCTCATCCGCCTGTTTTATGCAGCTTTTTATTAGTGCATAACCATTTCTACCTACTTGCTTGGATACTGTAAAAGTTTATTTACAAAAAAAGAATCAGTAAAAAAAAAAAAAAAGATGACATTTTCCACTTGCTACCTAAGCTCACGAGTCTTGTCAGAAATCTCCTTGCTTAATCTCACCTGAAGGCTATTCTCTTGCTAAAACAAGAAAATGATTTTAGGTTAAGTTAATAGACAGTGTGCTGCTTATAAGAAATCATCTCATACATGATGGGAAAAAAAAAAAAAAAAAGAAGATATATATCATTCCAAATCAAAAGTACCAACATGAATCATGAACAATTGTAAATTTTATTTTTATTTTTATTTAAAAAAATACCAAAGTATATGTGTATATATATAGATTCAAAATGTGAAATTCATCGTATGTCTTGCATAGAGTATAAGTGTTAGGAATAATTGTTAATAGATTTTGATGATGTCAAGATAGTATATAGGCATAATATACCCCCTCATTTCTTATTGTAAGTTGAATTCTCATTACTTTTAAAAGAATAATATGCTTCAACAACCGTCTGACCGAAAGAAAGTAGTTTCAGAAGAACACTATCAGGAGGAAAGGTTTAGGAAGCTAAGGAAGACCAGAAGGAAAGACTTCGGAAAGAAGCAACTGAAAGGAAAAGATTGGAAGAAGGGAAGCTAGAAAGCAACCACAGTTCTCGAAAATCCATTGTCATATCTCTTAGCTTATGTAGCTTGAGAACCATAGGGCAATTACAGTTTCCGTAGTCATGTATAAGCACACTTTGGTTCAAAAGAGTATCACCAATTTGTGTACACTTGGTGTCACAAGTTGCAGTGTCAAACATCTCTTTTTATTCTTCCTCGTATGAGCTTCTTTCGATAATGATCTTCCATAAAAATCTTCATTAAAGTTTCCTCGAATTTTGGTGATAGCAATGAATGACCTTTATAGTACGTTCCATTTAAATATCATTGACTTGATTTCACATCTCCTTATTGTCTATAAAAAGAGGGCCCTAAACTTAGAAGAACATTTATTTTTATTGGGGTGGAAAATAGACTATTGCGATATATTGTTGAAAGCTATCTAGAGAGAAAAACGGCTATATTGCAAAATCTAGTCTTCTAAGCAAAAAGAAGAACCGTTCTGATTCTTACAAAGTCCAACACACAAACAACATTATCTTTCAAGTTAAGGAAGTTGGGAGATCAACCTAGCAATGCAATTTTGTGATTGGCCATTGATTAGTTGTAATCAAGCAGTGAAGGACAAGACGACGAGAAGTTCATAATTGTCTCAAGGACCGCCATCCAATAGAAACTGTTGGTCCCAGTAGGGTCAGAGAGAGTCTAGAGGGGAGGGGGGGTGAATAGACTCTAATCGGTTCTTTTCGAATAATCTCCTTTCGGAGATATACGCAGCGGAAATAGTGTTTCGTTTTAAATATTCTTTGCATGCTTTCGTGTTAGTAAAACTTAGCGTTTGGTCGATATGATATGATATGCAAAGCATGAAAGTAAAAGTGATAAGTAAAAAGAGATGGACAGAGAGATTTTTATAGTGGTTCGGCCAACTGTGCCTACTCCACTCTTCTTCCACAACTTGTGAAAGGTTTGCACTATCACTCCTAGTACAAACTACTTTAAGATGGCTTCCTTGATCACTAAGTCGGACAACCACTTGAAAGGTTTTTCAACTCCTCGAGTTTACTCCGCCTCTATCAACTTCTTCCTAAGCTGAAATGTTGGAAAGATAATCTGATGGTTCTCCAACAGGTTGAAGCTTGTCTTGACGTTTGGATGGATATTCACTTGAGAAAAGTACAAGACTGCTTCAAGTTATGAAGTATGAGAATGGATAAGCCTTTGAAAAACTTCACAACTAACACTGGTTATGAAAAGCTTTTTGGAGATAAAACTGCTTGAAGAGCTTTTCTTAGGATTGCAAGAGTGAGTTAACCAGCACCTTCTTCAATGGTGAAGAGAGGTATTTATAAAATCCATCCATTGGAGGGAGATGAAAATTTCAAACCTAATAACCAGTGTGTATTACTCAGTGGGCAAAAGGCATTTAATGCACTTGTACTGTATAGCCGTTGGAGCCAAAAGCATTATGACTTTTGTCCTTGATCTCTGACAAGATAGTACAAGTTTTTAATTAATGCTCCTTGTCGTTAGTGAAAATCATTCCTAGGATACTTTTTGTCCGAATGATTTGCGCATCTGAGTGATAGACAACATTCTCATTGTTTCCTTTAATGAGTGTTGTCTTTCTACAAGTCTGTCCTTGACTTGTTCACTTAGGAATGAGAGACGAAAGATGATCCTCATCTTTCGTTCTTTCTTCTTAGACGAAGGTTCCTTTTGTAAAAGCAGTCCATCCGTGACTTGCTTTAATCCTTCTTTCGTCTATACTAGAGGCATCTTTCGATCATCTTCGAATCTTCATGTAGACCTATTGTACCAGTCTCGTGCATGGTTTAACATCTTATGCCTATGTCATTTGAGACTTATCTAACAAATGAAAAATAGAGGTCTACATTCTAAGACAGTTTGGTATCATCAAAATCTAAATACACTTGTTCCTAACAGAAACTATTGGCTTCTGTGTCACTTGTATTTGTATAGGAGAAGAGTGGAGTACCACTTTTATTCCGATTTCCGAACCACTATAAATCTCTTTCTTGATCTCTATATTTCATTACTATTTATTTTTTCTTACTAACCATATACTCTACTCAAACACTCTTTCACGTGAAACAAACTTAGCTACAAATTTTATTTTGTGGAAGCTTTAAGACTTCCACCGCAATAAAACTTATTTCCTTTATTTGATTTCCAAATTTAAGCTCACATAGAGCGCCCACCCCCCCCCCCCCCCCACAAACACACATGAAGAAAGAAAAATCAATATTATATCTAACTTTCTAAAAGTATTAGCATGAGTCATGAACGGTTACAAATTTTTGTTTTTATTTTTTACCCAGATTAAAGAAGTGATATATTCATCATATGTCTCACATATAGTATATATAAGTAAAATTATGTCTTACGACATGAGTAATGAACCGTTACAATTTTTTCTTTTTATTTTTTACCCAAGTTGAAATGTTTAGTGTGTGTGTGTGTGTGTATATATATATATATATATATATATATATATATATATATATATATATATATATATATATCCAAAAAATGATACTCATTGTCTCATGTAGAGTATAAGTAAAATTATGTCTCATCACATGAAGAAAGAAAGATCAAGATATATATCTTTCCAAAACTAGGTGCACAAGTAGGTTGTAAATTTTTATTTTTATTTTTATCCAAGTTGATATGTATAAATAGATAGATTCAAAAAGTGGTATCCATCATACGCCTTACCTAGAGTATATGTAACATTATGTCTCATTACATGAAGAAAGAAAAATCAAACTAAGATATATCTTTCCAAAACTACCTATATGCGCCATGAAGTCATGAACGATTATTGTAAAACTATATATGTATTTTTACTCATATTTATATATATATATATATATATATATATATATATATATATATATATATTTAAATACAGTAATATTTATCATATATATGTCTCACATAGAGTATAAGTAAAATTATGTCACATCACATGCATGACGAAAGAAAGACCAAGATATATTCTTTCAAAAATATTAGCACGAGTCACTATTGGTGCAGTGGTAAACTTTTATACTATTTTTTTTAATCCAAGTTGATATGGATATATAGATTCAAAAAGTGATATCATCATATGTCTCAGATAGAGTATACATAAAATTATTATATATGTCTCATCACATGAAGAAAGAAAAATCAAGATATATCATTTTAAAAATGTTAGCATGACTCATGAACATTTGCAAATTTTTGTTTTCATTTTTACCCAAAGTTGATATGTATATATAGATTCAAGAAGTGATATCCATCATACGCCTCACATAGAGTATAAGTAACATTACGTCTCATTACATGAAGAAATAAAGATCAAGAATCAAGATGTATCTTTTTGAAAATATTAGCATGAGTCATAAATGGTTGTAATATTTTTTAAAATGAAAAAAAAATTATCCAAGTTGATGTGTATATATAGATTCAAGAAGTGAGTAATGAATGGTTATAAATTTTTATTTTTATTTTTATTTTTTACCCAAGTTGATATGTATATATAGATTCATGATGTGATTTTCATCACATGTATCACATAGAGTATGTATATAAAGAATTTTCTTACATGAAGAAAGAAAGATCAAGATATATATCTTTGCAAAACTGCTTGCATGAGCCATGGCTACCATGATCATATCAATTTTAATTTTTTTTATTATTAAGGTGTTTGTGTGTATAGTATATACAAATTCAAGAAGTGGAATTCATCATATGTCTCAAATAGAATACAATTAAGTAAAACTTGTGTTACGTTATTAGAAGTTGGTATAAGTTAAAAAGATGTTTACTTTTTTATATTTTAATACACTTTCATCATATAAGCTTAATCTTGTGCTAATTAATCATTAATGGATTAACTAATACTGTTATGATGATCATGTATTAGTGCAAATGGCACACAGTAAATGACACCTGCTGAAATTCAAGAGGCTGATACTTCTTAGCTTGATGTTACTTGAATGAGATTTACGCATGAAGAAAGATCAAGATATATATCTATTTTTTTTCTTAGGGAGAAGAAGATATATATCTTTTCAAAACTACACGTTTGAGTTATGAACAGTTATTATATATATACCCAAGTTGATATGTATATATAGATCTGAGGACGGAGTAATATTCAACATATGTCTCACATAGAGTATAAGGCTATGTTTGACAAACCTAACTGAAAAGGTAGCTGGAAGCTTAAAAGGAGCTGAAAGCTGAAAAGCTATAAGCTAGGAGCTGAAACTGAAGATCTGTTATGCTGGAAAGTGTTTGGTAAAATTAGTTTTTTGAGTTAATAAATGTAAAAAGACAAAAAAAAAATGACATCTTCATAAAATTTAAATAGTTTGTTTACATATTAAAATTTAACATTTTGTCTTCAAAAAAATTAACATTTTGAAATAAAATCATTAGCATAATCATGATTTAGCATCCCATAATGAAGTAGCAATATTGTTGCGAATCCAATAATATTAATAATAATAATAATAATAATAATAATAATAATAATTGTGGTTAAAGTTGTGGATAAAGGAGAATGAGAAAATAATTTTAATTGGAAAAGATAAAATGATGTCATTTCATTAAAATAATAAGGATGAAGATAGAAAAAAACCGTTAGTAAGCTACTAGTTTATTTTGAATAGCGTTTTAAAATAAGCTCTTATTTTAAGCTACGATGGAACATTACCAAACAGAGCTTATAGCTTATTAAAAACTTAAAATAAGCTATAAGCTCTGCCAAACAGAGCCTTAAAGTAAAATTATGTTTCATCATATGAAAGAAAAATCATGATATACCTTTTCAAAAGTATTAACATAAGTCATAAACGGTTACAAATTTTTATCCAAATTATATGTATATATAGATTCAAAAAGTAATATCTATCATATGTCACGCATAGAGTTTTAAGTAAAATTATGTCTCATCACATGAAAAAAGAAAGATGAAGATATATTTTTTAAAGTATTAGTATGAGTCATGACAGTTTGTAATTTTTTTATTATTTTTTTTTTATTTTTACCCAAGTTGATATCTATGTATATATAGATTTAAAAAATGATATCATCATATGCCTCACATATAGTATATGTAAAATTATGTTTCACATGAAGAAAGAAAGGTCAAGATATTTATCTTTCAAATACATACTGTTATGATGATCATATATTAATGCAAATGGCACACAGTAAATTATACCTGCAGAAATTCAAGAGGTTGGTACTTCTTGATGTTACTTGAATGAGATACATATTTTTGAAGGATATGCTTCATGCTGCCATAAGAACACATATAAGATCACGCCTCAGTAAAATAATTAATGTGCATTCTGTCCCATAAACATATAATTTTACTATCAATTTATACGCAATCACCTGTTAAAAATATTTCATATATAAATGTATAATTTCACTATCAGTTTATGCACAATGGCCCATTAAAGATCATTCATACACCAACAACATACGTACATTATTCAATTCTCAGATTAATTGAAATCTACTTTCTAGGTTTGAAGTTAACATCCATCAAAGTATTGCCTAGAAACTCCGTCAAATGAACTGTAATAAACTAGATTGTGGGTGGAATCATAAACATATATAAACATAGTCTACAGAAAGTAGCTGGATATATAATATATATATATATATATATATATATATATATATATATATATATAATGAACCTTCTTGTCTGTCTATCTATCAAATTAAAGGTGAGATAGCTGACTGATATGACAAGTAAGTAACTAGGTATAGTACTATGAAATCTGGGCCATTGATTTTCTCGAGTTTATGCAGAATCTGCAGTGGAGGATGAGTGACCAGATTGCCAGATGGTTGGGAAAACTAAGAAAAAAAGTTGGAAATCAAACATAAATGGTAACTGGGTCGGAGCAAGAAATCTGAGGAGATGAGAAAAACCTAAGAAAGAAACACGACACCAACCAAATTAAACCAAAATAAAATATGTTCTCGATCAACACCACATACTATTAATGCAAATAAAAAAAAAATAAAGACTGGGAATCTAATTTCCGGCGAAAATTAAACGGCCCGGCCGGGAGAGTGAAGTAGTGGACATAGTTACCTAGAGCTAGCGAAATCGAAAAGTTTGCCGGTGGAGGAGAAGACGATGAGGGCGACGTCGGCGTCGCAAAGGACGGCAAGCTCTTCAGCTTTCTTGAAAAGCCCTCTTCTCCTCTTAGAGAATGTCACCTGCCTCGCTGCAATGTTGTCGATCTTCTTTATCTTTATCTTCTTCCGAGTCATGATCCAGCTAGTGCTTCTCGATCAATCGACAAACCAAGATTAAACCAACTTGATTGATTTCCTCAAACTGCAAATTAGCGCGGAGAGCGAGAGACACATAAAAACACGCGAGCGAACAAAATATTTTCCCAGCACGTACGAAAACGAAGAAACAGTTGTAATAAACTATTGTTTTTAGCTAAATATAGAGCAGACAAAAATGCAGTGGCTTGGAGAAACCCTATGATGGAAAATGGAAAATTCCCAGTTTAGATCTGGCGGAAAACTCAAGAAAAAATTGTGGCCAATAATCTGGAATGAACACCAGTTTTTCTTCTGATCTTCTTGGATTGGCGGGTATGGGATTTTTGGGAGTGAGGAAGGTGATGCTTCTCGATCTCCAAAAAGAATTTCCTTCTTTTGGAACTTCTTGTGCTTCTCTCTCTCTAAAAGTAGAATATATAATAGGGAAAGAGGGACAGAGAAAGTGGAAAGAACACTAATTTCCCAGAAATGTTCGTTCAGTAAAGGGAAAGTCTTACTATTTATGACCAAGGAAAGAAAATAAAGAGAAAATGTTCCAATATTCCATGTATATTGGAACACGCTAGGCCACGAAAATGTTTTCTAATTTTTTTTTTTTAAGGTAAAGTTCAAAGGGATTTGGTGATTTGGTTGGTAAAAACAAAAAAAATTATTATTTATTCCAACTATGAAAATTTTACTACCATTATATTAGAGCTGAGCATTCTCAATGGGATCTTGTGGTCTTGTGGCACCAAGTTGCTCTATCATATGTGATGTTATGGGTTTGAGCTTTACGTAATTATGAACAATAGTACCAAAAAAGGGTGGTGCTGGAAATTATAGAATCTCCTGACCATCTAAATCAAGTCGACACCACTCATTTAAAATTGCACGTAATCAAAAAATGGTAGTTGGCATAAATGTAATAAGTCCAAACTATAACAAAAATTGAAGAAAAAATTAAATGTTTTTAAAAATCTTTTAGACCATTGTCCATCTTAACCATACTCATATTTTAACCAGACTAGTTTAATCCTGCTCAAATATATCCACATAGATGGAAAGCAACCCATCAATATGAATTATATGACGCCACTCAGAGAGATCAGAGAAAGAAATTAAATTCATAAAATGTTTTACAAGTAAAAATTTTGAAAGACATTTTTTTTAAATGGATCATTTTCTTTTGACCATAATGAGTATTTTTTGTTTTTATTTTTTTATTAATAGCCAAACATTAGAAGTTTTGAGAAGTCATTTTTCAAATTTTCAAACCAATATTAAATTTTATATATTGTGAATGATTTAGACAAGAGTAAATATCCAAAGTGGTCCCTCAACTATAGCTAAATTTACAAATTAGTCATCGACTTTCAATTTTAACCAATTAAGTCCTTAACTTTGCAATTTTAACACGATTTGGTCCTTCGTCTATTTGACCATTTGTTAACTGTGATTTTTGAGGATATATATGTAATTTCATAGTCCATCGTCAGTTTTTTAAGGTTCCGATTGCATTTCCAGACCGCACTACCGAAAGCAATCTGCCAAATTAATCATGTCGCCTTTCTTCCTCCTCCCTTTGGATTCAATGTAGTTGAGTTCATACCAGAGCGAAGAAGACGAGGTGTTTCCGAACCGGTGCAGCATCATCTTGGAGGCCTTTACGTGCTCCGACAAGAGATGGAGGTTCTTCTGGAGATCGTCGATGACGGCGCGGCCGCCGGCGTTGATGCAGAAGTGTTCAAAGGCCTGTTTGAAGTCGGGAATATAGGGTTTCCATTTGGGATTGAAGATTTTCCGGGCGATTAGGGTGAAGAGAAAGAGGAGCTGCTCCGACGCCGGGAGAACGAGTGGGCCGATTGTGGTTATGTTGGATTTGAGGGCTTCGCCAGCGATCACCATTAGGTATTTTGAGAGGTTGATTCCGACTTTCCCTTGCGGATCTTCCTGCTCGTAAACGCAGTGGTAGGCTTTGTCGTCGGCGCCCTTGTGCATGCGAACCATGTGCATGAGCCGGTACTTGGCCCGACCCGAATCGCGCTTCTTGTTGGACACGAGAATCACGGCGCCGCCCATTCCGAAGAGGCAGTTAGGGAGGAGCATAGCTCACTCCGATCCTTTGTAATAGTTGGGCGTAATAATCTCTTTGCTAACCACTAGGGCGTTAGAGTTGGGGTGCACGTACAGGAGGTTATCACGTGCGAGATCGATCGAGATTAGGCTGGCGCTACACCCCATGCTAGAGAAATTATAGCTTTTGATAGACAGATCGCTGAAGTCCCTGGAGCGGCTTTTCGAGAAAGCCATGACTCCAGCGACGTTAGAAAGCTAAACCGGCTCGTGATCCTCAAGCAGCAACGGAGAAGCACTTCTCCCCTTCGAAACGGCGCCATCACCTCCAAGAGCGTTCTCTTGAGCTTTGCACATGAAATTACATATATATCCTCAGAGATCACGGTCAACAAACAGTCAAATAGACGGAGGACCAAATCGTGTTAAAATTACAAAGTTAAGGATTTAATTGGTTGAAATTGAAAGTCGATGACCAATTTGTGAATTTAGCTATAGTCGAGGGATCATTTTGGGTATTTACTCTTTAGACAACTCACAAATATTACCATTAATTAGAGATGCTCTTAGAAGTCCAATATGAGTCCACCACAAACTCCCTAGATCCACCTACATATGACTGGAGCGTTATGCTGTGGACCCGTGTCCACCATGTGCATGGTGGACACGATGTATATTCATAATTTCTATACTGTACATTCATAAAATTTATAATGTAGATTCATAATTTCTATACTGCACATTCATAATTTCTATACTGTAAATTCATAATTTCTATACTGAAGATTCATAAAATTTATAATGTAGATTCATACAGTACAGAAATTATGAATGTGCAGTATAGAAATTATGAATTTACAGTATAAAAATTATAGATCTACAATTTAGAAATTATGAATCTACAGTATAAAAATTATAAATCTACAGTATATAAATTATGAATATAGAATGTGTCCACTATGCACATAGTGGACACCGGTCCATAGCATAATTTGCCCATATGACTATATGAGACTCCTAGAACTACTGCCAACAAACCCTAGCCCAACTCGTACCATGCACCTAAAAATCCACAAGACTCAAAAAATAAATACAATTACCTTACTCTTTTGAAAAAAAAAAAAAAATCAAATGAGTTAATTTTATGAATAAATCATTTACTATTAACATTTACCAATTAATTTTTATCCTTTGACTTTCAATTATACCATAAATGGTTCTTAACGGTTGATTTTGTTCTTAGTCATTCAGTTAAATATCCATTTAATAAATATAAAATGTAAGAACAATAATGTAAAAATTTGTTGAGATGAACAAATTGAGTTCATAAATTTAATACATTGAGTTTATCATTGTGAAGAATTAATTTTTTTTACATTATTACCCTTAAATTTAATGTTTATTAAAATAATTTTTAACTAGAGGACAAAATTTGAAAAAAAAAAATCAATAGTCAAGGGACCACTTATGGTTAAATTAAAAGTAGATGATAAAAATTGGTAAAAATCAATAGTCAAGTGACAATTTATTGTCCAATTGAAAATCGAATAATAAAAATTGATAAAAGACAATGGTTAAGTGATCATTTCTGGAATTAATAGACCCCGCATACTTGCAATAATGCAATTATTTTCTTGAATTAAAAAAAAATTATTAAATTAGATTCTTGAACTTGTAAAAAAGTTATAATTAGCACTTTTAACATGTTATATGATGGTAACATGATGATTAGATGTAGCCGTAGTTTGATTTCGTTTCATGGTTCGAAAAATGACAAATCAGAACTGAAATCTTTTAGAAAGGTTTCAATTAATTCAAATGGAATTTATTTTTATTATTCTTTTTTTTTTTTAGAATTTTGCCATTCTATTTTTTTAAAATGATTATATCAAATATTTAAACTTTAAAGTTAAAGTAAAAGACTTTTTTTATTTTGTATGTTTATTTATTTATTTATTTATTTGGAACCGAAATCAATCGATTCCAAACCAGAACCCAAGGTTTCGGTTTGGTTGAAATTGAACTGTGGTCATCCCTAATTAGATGTGCTATGTGACATTTTTAGGAAATTTGTTGTTGAGTTGTGTATATTTTTAGTATTGATATAACATAGTTGTGGCCCTCTTGGTTGTGGCGGTCGTGCCCAGTCTTCATAGTGAAATTAGCTCTCCTATGTGACTTTTGAATTATTACACATGAAGGTTACCATGTACAATTGTACACTATTTAATAGTGGGTGTGAATTTTTCTCATCACAAAAAAAAAAAAAAAAAAAAAAAAAAAAAAAAAAGTCAAATAAAAAAAATAGTGTCAATGTATTGTCACTAAAAAAGTAATTCGTAGAGACAAAATTTGTGCCACTAAAATATATGGAAATAGTGACAACGCTTTTGTCAATATTATTGATATTTTTTAAGCTAAGTAATCATTACTTTGGCATAAAAGTTTTTTTTTTTTTTTAGTTTAAATAAAACTAATTTACTGTTATCACAAACTATATAAAGTTATTTGTTTCAATCAAGGTTTTTATTATTGTTAGGAATAAATAATCCATTCAACAAATACAATTTGTAAATTTGTATTTAAAAAAAAAAAAAAAGGAAAAGAAAAAAAGACTTCATTGTCTTACAAATGATGTATATATGTTGTCACAAATATGACGTTCAATTTCTTTTAATTTTGCAACTTATCCTTCTAAAATACTTTCACATTTCTTTTAAGTCTCCATTTATGCTTGAAAAATTAAAAGAATTTTCTTTTGAGTCTTCAAAGTTATTTTTTTAAGGCCTAAATCATGTGCATAACTTAACTTTCTTTTTAAAACCAAATCGAAATGTTTGATGAGCGATAGAAGTGCAACTAAATTTTTTTCTTGAGGTTTTCTGTATATAAGTATATTAAGATAGATATTAATAATTGAATAAATTACTTTTAAAAACTGTAGACATTTTTTCTTGAATGTTATTATGTATATTAAGATAGATATTAATAATTGAGTAAATTACTTTAAAAAAAAAATGTAGGATCAAGCGCTTATAGTTATGCCATCAAAAGCTATAGTAATGCTAAACTCGACTCTCCTAGCCGCAACCCAACTGCACATTATGCACCCTAGCTCTGATATCAATTATAGGATCAAGGGCTTATCATTACAACATAACTTGAGACACTACTCATCTATTTATAGTAATAATATCACTGTAGCAAATACTTAGGCTACTGGTCACAATTATAAATTATCATAGCATTAATGACATGAGCCAACATAATTATTGTCACAACAACTGTAATTATTATGATGGAATTTTAGAGTGTTACACATTTGTTACAATTTTATCACAAAATTTGACAATATGAGTGACCACTATATATATCTTTTGTTACAATCATATCCCGTTTCCGAAAGTACTAACTAATTACAT